CCCCCCCCCTTGCTGCTGCCTGTGCAGGTGGCCACCTGCAATGCCACGTGGCACTTTGCTGTGGACTGAAGACCCCCCTGGTTAGGAAGCTGCACCACAGCATTATTATATTATTTATTTTTTTTTACTATCTCTCTACTGCTGCAGCAGCTCAAGATTTCCCCCTGGCTAGGGGGCTGTGTGACTGTGGCAGCAGGGTGGCTGATCAAGATCTCAGCCAACCCTAGATCATCATCATCACACAGCACACCCTGGATCTGCAGTGCTGCAACTAGGGGCTGATCAAGATCTCAGTCCCCCGACATCCTCCAGTTGGTTGGCTGCAGCGAAGGCCAAGACCCTCCTGGTCTTGGTATACCTTGTGCCCTTGGAGACACCAAGGGCCAGGTATCATCTCTCTCTCCCCTTTTCTTTCCCCCACCTTCCACTGCCTCTCTCCCCTCCTCTTTTTACCTTCCCCACCCCACCTTTTCTCCCACTAACCACTACTTAACCCTCTTTTCTTCATTTCTTTTCTTTTCTCTCCTCCTTCTTTCCTCTTAGTTTCTTGATCACTCTCCATCTTTCCCCATCCTCTTTCTCTCCCATTCTCTCACTCTCCTCTCCCCCAACTGCCACCACATCATCCCCCCACCTTCCACTTCCATTTTTTTCCCTCTCCCACCTATTTCTCTCTTCTCTCCATCACTTTCTCATCCCCCCTTCCCCCCCTACTTCGAATTTTTCTGTTTTTCTTTTTTTTCTATCTCCCTTTTGATTTATATTTTCTCTTTTCCCAAAAATTCGAATTATCTTCTTCCCCACCTTATTTTCTCATTTTCTGATTTATTTCATTTATTTTTCTATTTATTCTGAAAATTCGATTTTCTTTACGGCAACCCTAAATCTGATTAGGTGCTAGTCTTTCTTGCTTTCGGCACACGTTTTGACCCCGTGGGGGTAACGAAGTGCTGCCGAAATTTTCTGATTTTCTCTTACTTAGTCCTTTTCGGCACACTTCGACCCCATGGGGGTAACGAAATGCTGCCAAATTTTTTGAAAAAGCAGATACTGCATTTCTCTCCCCCTCCTCATCCACTTATTTACTTATTTATTTATTTATTTATTTACTTATTATTTCTTTATTTATTTTTCTGAAATTTCATTTTTTATTTTTTGCGGCGGCATCTTCAAACCTAGTGTGTTCACCTTGGTCTCTCCTTTCCCCTTGGCACACTCTTGACCCCATATGGGGTAAGGAAATGCTGCCGAAAAATTCAAAAAAATAAATATTGTTTCTTCTCTTCACATCTTTTACTTATTTCTTTAATTATTTTCTTATTTATTTATTTCCTTATTTATTTCTATTTTCTTTCGAAATCTCGCAGTTTATTTATTTTTCTCCCATCTTCCCCCCCCTATGCTTGCTATTTTATTTTCTTGATTAGGTCACCGGCACCGTACCCTAATCACTCAAACTCCGGTTAGAGTTTTCTTAGGGTTTTTCTAGGGTTTAGGGTTCTTCAACCCCCCCCTACTCCCCTTCCTATTCTTCGGGCACCCTGGACCCGAACCACCCTTCCCCCTTTGACGGCGCCCGCGCCAGCCTTCCTAGCGCCGTCCGCCGCCTTCTACCGCGGACTCCCCCCTACGCCCTCCGCTCACGCGGACCTCTCCTAGCCCCCTCCAGTCCGGCCCGTCACCTCCCCATGGCCGACGGTGTGTTACACGCCGCCAACGCGGCGACGACCACGGCACAGGGCTACACCCGTGCCGACGGACCAGGGCCACCAGCCCCAGGGGGATCTGCATACCCTCCTCACCTCCCTCCTTGCACCCATCCAGGCGCAACTCGCGACCCTCTCGCCCTTACAGGCGCAGGTGGCGACCCTTGCCGCCGGCGTGCAGCAACTCCAGGACGCTGCGTGTCCTCCATCTCCTGGCTCCCAGTCCGGGTCCCCCGTCCTCCGACAGGGTGGCCACGGTGGAGCTTCCTCCTCCGCTGTCCCCGACCCGGCCATCTTGGTGACCGTCCACGCCCCTACGAGTCAGGTCCTCCCTCAGTCTACGGGCACACCCGCCCAGACCCCGGTTACTACGGCCACGGTATCACAACCCGCTACCATGGTCGCAACTTTTCCGGGTGCCCCACTTCTCCCTCCTCTTCGCACGACCGCAGCGCTATCTGGCTCTCCCCCTTGTGGGATGCCTTGCGCCGCTCGTGCGTCTCCCCCTGCCACACCTCGCTCGACCTACGTTCGAGGTCTCGAGGACGAGATCGCCCATCTGCGGACCGACCTCGCCCTCTCATGCCTTCAGCCACCCCCCCCCTCGCAGGTGGCCGCGCCTTCCGGCGCACCCCCTCCCCATCCCCTCGGTTGCTGCGACCTCTTCTACCGCAGCTCCCGTGCAGCCTGCCGCTATTTCCCCCGTCGTTCCACCATGTGGCCCGGGCGTATAGTCAGTTGTGCCTCCTTCTCCACGACCTGCGCCGACTTATTCAGCCGTAGCGCAGTCCCCTGCTTCCCGTTCTCCTCGCCGCCAAAACGGTGGCGCACCACTCGTCCGCTTGACGGACGTTGCCTTGTATGACGATACAGGCATCCTCGTGTCTCGGTGGCTACAGTCTGCCACCCGCACGCTCCAACTCATGGGCGTCGCACCCGACACGTGGGTGGCTCACCTCTCCACGCGCCTGCGTGGCAGTCCTTCCGACGCCTGGGAGGATTTCTTCGCTTATTCCGTTCGTGCGGGTCGGACTCCGACCTTCATGGATTTCCAGGCATTCCTCGAGGAACGCTTCGGAGCCCGATATGACGTGACTGACTCCTTCAAGCGTGTCGTCACTACACGCTGGTCCGGCTCTGGTGGCGCTGCCGGCCTGGATCGCCACATCCAGGTCTTTCAGGACGCCCGCCTCATTTGTGACGTGGCGTTCCTCCCCGAGGCAGCCCTTATCGATCGTTTCTTGGCCAGCCTCCCGCTCGAGTACCACTCCGAGCTATGGCGGTACTAGTTCACATCGGCCCCGCAGGCTTATGAGGCCGCCAGGGACCATCAGCGGATGCGGGCCCGTCTTCACCTAACCTCCTCCTCCCAGCCACAGCGTACGGGTTACGCCTCCTCCTCCTCTCACCGCATTTCCCAGCGCCATTCGCCTATCCGTGGTCGCCCCCACCGTTCCACACAGCAGGGCCACCACTTCTCGCGCCGCTTCAGCGCGCTCGAGTATGGTGAGCAGGACGCTGGTGCCCCGCTATCACCAGAGGGTGACCATAGCGCCGACCTCGACCTCGGCGACGCCGTCCACCACCACCTGGAGGACCCTACTCTCCCTATGGCTGAGCGCCTCCAGCTCATCCTCTCCACCCTTTCCCGGGCACGCAGCCGCCCCGGTCACGCTGGCGCGTCGCCCCCCGAGGTCCCTCAGCAGGACTTCCCTCAGGGCTTTGTCCCTCCTCACGGTGTCCTTTCCGCTGAGGAGCGCGCGGCTATTTTGGGCCGGCGTGGGTGTTTGCGCTGCCGCTTGGACGGTCATACCTCCTCGCGGTGCCCTTACACTACCGCCCTCGACCGCCACTACGCTGACCTTTCCCGCCAGCGTCGTGCTCAATCCCCCCCCGGCGCCTCGCATCCCCGCGGCGCCTCCTAGCCACGTGCAGTGTACACCTGCGCCCTCCTCAGTAGTGGGTTTCCCGACATCTCCGTCGCGGTTCGCCCCTCTCGCTACTGGAGCTGAGGTATCGCAGGACTCGACAGAGTGTACTTAGCCCTCTGTCGCAGCACCGTCTGCGCCTCCGCAGACCACCGTCTCCCCTCCTTCCCCACCGCGACTACCGACGCGTCGAGCCATTCGCTCAGCCTGTTGTAGCGAGCAGCTTGCGACTCGCGAGGACATTGTGTCCTCTCTTCTGGACTTTAGCATGCTCCAGGCTCGTCAGGAGCGACTCACCCTCCATGTCGCTGTCATGCGTCGCCTTCTCACCATCCTCTTTGACCCTGATAGCACCCTCCCGATCATCCCCGTACGACTGGGGACCTCCACGAGCGTGTACTCAGCGTTGTGGGATTCCGGTTCTCAGGGCGACTTCATTCACCCACGCGTGGTGAAAGAAGCCCGCTTACCTACGACCGGGTCTCCAACTCCCATCTCCATCACCTTAGGGGATGACAAGACCCAGCGCTTCTTCGATCAGACGGTCACCGACCTCCCTTTCTTCCTCACTCTCGAGCCGACTGATCGTTCCCCGGCGTCTCGTCGCCACCGCTCCTCTGCATATATTGATGTGATGGAGACGGGGTACGACTTCATTCTCGGCACTCCGTGGTCTCGTCGGTTCCGCAGCACCGAGGCCGATTGGGCGACCAACACTCTCGTTCTCAAAACTAAGTGTGGACAGACGTATCGTGTACCTTTCATAGGTACCACTGCGACACCACGCCCCGATCCTCCTCCCCCGGAGCCTTTCGTGCCCATACCATCTCCTTCTATCACTGTCATTTCGCCTCGACAGTTCGCCCACTTCATCCGACAGGACGACGTCACCTTCTTTAAGGTGAACGTGACGGATCTCTTACACTATGATCCACCCTGTCCCGACGTCGAGCTCATCCCTCTACAGCCAGATCCTCCTCCTATCTCCATGGCTCCCATCTCTACTTTTGTCCCTCTGCCGTCCGTTGAGTCGACCCCGCCGTCGCGCGTTGACGCTGACGCTGAGGCACTCGCACGATATACGGCTGACCTGGAGCCCGCAGTTCGTGACCTCATTGGAGAGTACCACGGCGTTTTCCCATCGTCGTTCTCGTACGCTGGCATCCCACCGATGCACGACGTCGAGCACTCCATCCAGCTTGTGCCTGACTATCGTGTTCACCACCAGGCACGCTACAGACTCTCGATCCCCGAGGCCACCAAACTCCAGCGTCAGCTTGAGGAGCTCCTGAGACTGGGTTTCATTAAACCCAGCAACTCCCCGTGGGGTGCACCCGTCCTCTTTACTCGCAAAGCGGATGGAACTCTTCGTCTCTACATCGACTACCGCGGTCTCACCCGCTACACGGTTAAGAACAGCTACCCCATGCCTCGTTCCGATGAGAGTTGTTCGACCGTCTAGCAGGCAACCGCTTCTTTACGAAGATTAATCTTCGTAGCGGTTAACCATCAGATCCGCATCACTGCAGCCGACCAGCCGAAGACCGCGTTCCGATCGCGCTTCGGCCACTACGAGTTTACGGTGATGCCATTCGGCCTCACCAACGCACCCGTTGCCTTCCAGAGGGTGATGAACAACATCTTCAGGGACATCCTGGAGCAGTACGTTCTCGTCTACCTCCACGATATCCTGGTCTATAGCCGTACCCTTGAGGAGCACCTCAGACACCTCCGCGACGTCCTTGACCGCTTGCGCAGACATGGCTTTTACGCCAAGCTGAGCAAGTGCCGCTTTGCCCAGCACAAAGTGGATTTCTTAGGACACTACGTGTCTGACCAGGGTCTCCACATGGACGACGCGAAGATCACTGCTACTGCGGAGTGGCCTGCTCCCACATCCGCCAAGCAGCTTCACAGCTTCCTAGGCCTGACCAGCTATTATAGTAACTTCATCCAGGGATACGCTAGGTATTCCTACGTCCTTACCTCCACCCTACTCCGGAAGAACCCACCCTGGGCTTGGACACCCCTCCACGAGGGCGCCTTTCGCGCCCTCAAGAAGGCGGTGACATGCGCACCGGTTCTTCACCTACCCGATTTTGATCGGCCTTTTATACTTACCACCGATGCATCAGACTTTGTTGTAGGAGCAGTGCTTTTTTAGGTCTTCCCCTCCTCTCCTGATTCCTCTCATCCTCATATCCCTCGCTTCCCACCACCTACTCCTACCACTGCTTCCCGACTGACGCCTACTCGTCCAGCTACTGACGAGCCTTCCATTGACTATTCCCCTACCATCACCGAGGACGGCACTGTCGAGTCTCACTCAGGTGATTGTCCGATAGCCTTCTACTCCCGTCAGCTTCTACCCGCCGAGATAAACTACACCGCTGATGAACGTGAGGTTCTCGCAATAGTTTATGCCGCTCGGCACTGGCGTCACTACCTGCACGGGGCACCGTTCACGATGCGCACGGACAACTCTGTTGTCCAGGTTTTTGTAATAAAGCCGAAGCTCACTCCTCGACAGGCTCCCTGGTGGAGCGACCTATCCGAGTTTAGTTTCACCACTGAGCAAGGGTGAGACTAATCGGGTCGCAGATGCCTTATCCCGGCGCCCTGACCCCGATCAAGAGCAGATCCAGCTCTCTTCCATCTCGGTCACCACCGTCCACCACTCGGTGATCGACAAGTTTCGCACTCAGTACCGCCACTGCCCCGACTATCGCGACATCCTTGCGACCCTTCGGAGTGGCAAGACCGCCCCGAACTACTCTCTCGGGGACAACGGTCTTGTGTACTGGCACGGTTCACAGGGCACCAGAGAGCCCCGTATTTGCGTTCCCTCCACTGGACAGCTGCGTGTCTGAGCAGTAGCAGAGTTCCATGACCAGGCAGCCGCTGGTCATATGGGCTTTCACAAGACATTGGCTCGTGTGAGCCACCTGTACGTCTGGCCGAAGTGCAAGGTCTTTGTGAAGGACTACGTCGTAGAGTGTCCCACCTGTCAAGAGGTGAACAGTGTGAACCACCTTCCTTATGGTTAGCTCTAGCCTCTTCCCATCCCTGAGGGTCGTTGGCAGTCCATCTCGATGGACTTTATTGGTCCTCTTCGTCCTCCGACCCCTCGCAGTCATGATGCTCTGGTCGTCGTCGACCGCTTCACGAAGCATGCACGCTTTGTTCCGTGCCGCTATGCCATCAGTGCACGTGAGGTCACCGACATCGTGTTTGACCGAGTCGTGCGTGACCACGGCTTACCTCTGAGCATCATATCTGACCGTGACCCGCGCTTTATCAGCCGATTCTGGCGACGGCTCCACGAGGTGTATGGCACCCAGCTCCGCTTTTCCTCGTCTTACCATCCTCAGACGGATGGTCAGACCGAGATCACGAACGGGACTCTCGGAGATATTCTCCGAAAGATTGTTCGTGACGACCAGCAGTGGGATCTTCATCTTGCCCACGCGGAGATAGCCTACAACCACGCCGTCTCGCCAGCCACGGGGATGTCGCCTTACTATTGCGACCTCGGCTATCACCCTCGTATTCCCACGGACTTTCTTCGACCATCCCAGTTGCATACCGACACGAGTTGTCCTGCGCTGGATGATTGAGTTGCACACATGACGTCGATCATGAAGACCGCACATGAGCACATACTCGTTTCCCAGACTCGCATGGCAGCACGTGCGAACCGATCGAGGATGGATCATTCATTCAAAGTCGGTGATGATGTGCTTATCGACGCCCGCCACTTACAGCTCGAAGCGGACACGCTTCACAAGTTTCGGCGTCGCTTTTTTGGCCCATGCCGCATCCTCCAGGCCGTCGGTTCTGATACGGCATCTAGCCCGGTCAACTTTCGTGTGAAGCTGCCCGACTACCTACGCCAGGCTCGTGTGCACGATGTCTACCACGTTTCGTTACTGCGTCCTTACCGCAGACCGTCTGAGCGTTTCGCTCGACGACCATACGAGCGCCCTCCACCCATCATGGTGGACGGCCACGAGGAGTTCCTCGTTTCAGACATTATTGGTCGCCGAGTCACCGACGACAACCCTCCCCACGTCGAGTATCTCATACGTTGAAAGCGTTACCCTGATGAGGAGGTTACCTTGGAGCCCCTCGAGCACTTGCAGCACGCTCGCATGTTGGTGCGTGCCTACGACCGTGCTCGTCGTGCTGGGTTCACTGCTCCTCCTCAGCCCACTGACCCTCCTCCTTCTCCCCCGGTTGCGGAGACCGCTGAAGTCGAGCCTGCTCCATCTGAGGCAGACCTTCAGCAGCAGCCGGATGCTTCTGAGCGTTCACAGCGCACTCGTCGTCGTCCTGCTCGATACGACGATTGACTCTGACTTACCTTCCCACGTCTTTGACTTCTCAATACTCCATCCATCAGTTTTGCCACTTCAGCTCGTCGACGTTGCGACTCTTCCTCGACGACATTCCGAACTTCTCATCGTGAACGTCATCGGCAGCTTCACGGACTTCGTCACGATAAGCTCTGCCTACTTCAAACGTCGCCACTCTCTTACCACTTTACCCTGTACAGTACCCTGCTTGTGTCGCATGATGGTCTCCCTTTAGCCGGGTTCCTCTGAGTTGGGCTCTCCCTTGGTATGCGCATAGGCATCGGGACTGTAGCGTTGCCCTGGCTTCCCATCTTACGGATCTAGTTCTAACTTCCCACACTTTAGGAGTCATTTGCATGATTCCCCTACCCATCACCTCTACCCTCTGCCGGCCCTCACGCCCTAGTTAGGCAGCCCCGCATGCTTCATCTAGGTGCGCCCAGTATACCAGGCTCCCTTGTTCCCTTGCATGGTCGACCCTCCATAGCGATCACCCCTTAGTCGAGCATTACCCGCCCTGATGGTCTATCTGTTAGGGTCATTGGTTCTGTTCGCTCCCAATTCCCTCCCCTCATTGAGCCTGATGACACATGTTTCCCCTGTCACTATGTGTGGATGCCCTTAGGAGTTTTCGACCCCTAGGCTGCATTCGCCACCCTCAGAGACCGTCCCACCCTTGGGTTTGCGACACACTTCTCCTGTGACATATGGTTGACTTGTTGTTGCTTTGTTGCTCTCAGACTGAGGCTATTGCCTCTGACATTTCTAGGATTTAGTTGTTCTGCTTTTGTTGTTCTCAGGACTTATACACCAGTTGTTCCCAGACTGAGGCTACTACCTCCAACATTCTAGGATCTAGTTGTCACTACTTTCTGCTTTCCTAGGACATGTATGCCAATTAGTTGCTTCTGCTTTCCTAGGACATGTATGCTAATTAGTTGCTTTTGCTTTCACTTAGGCTGTTAGCTGTGACATTGCTGTTTTGTGGCATTTTCTATCCTAGGTTGCATCGCATGGACTCAGCATGGAGCTTGCTCCTCATCCTAGACTACTCAAGTTTTCTTTTTCTTTGGTAGAGTTCCACTTCTTGGCGGAAGCGTATTTGTATCTAGGCGATCCATCACAGGCCGAGGATCGTGTAGTGGACCTCTGGTTGGCCTGTGAGACCAGCCCCTTTGGCCTGTTCTCGCCGGCCTGTGTTCTATTCGGAGGCAGTCCAGTCCAGTCCAGTCCAGTCCAGGCCGGTACCTCTGTCGGTACCATCCAGTGTAGTCAAGTCCGTCAGTCCGCTGGAGTATACCCCAGCCATTGTCTGTTTTTCGGGGGCATTCTACAGTTGCACATTTTGGAGTACGTGCGTTGGAGTCTTGCGTGGGGAGCTGCGTTGTGCATCTTGCTCCCCCCCTTCTTCCTCCATATCCATCTCTATCACTAGCGGAGCACCACACCTGGTGGGTCCGCTACAAGCTATGTATCCCGCTCTTCCTCTACTTCCCCCAAATGCTCTCATCCCCACCAATCCCGCCAATGATTTCACCATGGTCGACTCTTCCTCTCCCACCCTTGATTTCAACGCCCTTGCCGCCACTAACCCTAGAGAAGGCAAAATCCCCCCATCATTCCGCGCCAACGAGATTCCCACCTTCTCAGGCCAACCCCATGAGGATGTCTTTCTCTTTCTCACCAAACTTCAACAAGCCTTCTCCCTCCACAACATTTCTGTCGTCCACTACCTCCCCATCGCTGGCGGACGACTCCTAGACAACACTGCTCACTATTGGTACACTGAAATGACCAATCGCCATCACGCCAATCTCCGACCTCACACCTTCCTTGAGTGGGCCACCCTCATCACCTCCACCCTTCGCCCACAGAAAACGGTCGACGACTACATCGACCAATTCTGTCGGCTCCAACAAAACGGCCCAATCGACTGTTTTGTGCAATACGTCCGCTTGCTTCAGTCAACATATCCCCATCGACGTCATCAGTGACTTCGCCTTCATCTCCCTCGTTAAGCGTGTATGCCGCAAAGACCTAGTGGCCGCCCTTGTCCACGAGCCCCCCATGACCCTCGCCGACCTCCTCACTCGTGCCCTCCAACTCGACCGCATCCTCCCCCCCTACAAGACCGCACTTACATCAACCCCTCCCCGCCCTCGCTTCTTCCACAACATCGCCTCCGAGGACACCACCTCCACCACCTCCACCACCTCCTCGGACGAGTTCACTGCCCCCGTCCCTAACACCCTCTCCGATCCACTAGACACCACATCGCTCTCCCCCGACAAACTCTCTTCCATTCACCTCATGCGAATGGAAAAGAGAGATCGCTCCAGCCGTCCTCCCCCGACCACCCTCCCGAGCCGCCTCTAAAAACTCACACCCAAGGAAAGAGCCCACCTTCAGGCAAAGGGTGGATGTTTTCGGTGTCGTCAATTAGGCCACCTGCAAATAAACTGCCCAAATGTTAAACATTTCACACGCCAGTCTGCGGCTCCCCAGCCCGTAACCTCCGCATCACCCCCCTCGGCAGGATCGGGCCCCTCCTCGACCTGAACACTGTCCCCAGGTCTCCGCCCCGGCATCGACGTCCAGTCTGTCGGCCACCCCATCGGTGATGATCTCCATCCCACCAGTGGCCCATTTGGCATCGACAATACGTTTGCCTCCCCCCTCTCCGATGCCGCACCCCCCATCAGACGACCCCCAGGCGTCACAACGCTCGACGCCTGACGCCCCCCTCACTGCCACTTGTTCCTCAACCCTCTTTCTGAATCCATCCTCTTTCACCTTCTCTGATGTTGTTGAGGAACAAGCCCGACACGATCAGCTTGTCCAATTAGGCAATGAACAACGTCGCCTCAACACCATTATCTCCACCGCCAACTCATCACACTTTCACCCCAAATTCATCGCCGCCACCCTTGGTGTGTCTACGACTAAGTTTCCGGCCCTCCTCGACATTGGAGTCACCGGAAACTTCATCACCGGCGCATGTGTCCGGAAAGCTGGTCTTACCTCTACCGGACACGACTCCCCGATTATGATTCGTGTAGGGGACAAAGACACCGTCGTCGTAGTAGACCGCACGGTTCCCGAGTCCACCATGACTATCGGAACCCTCCGCAACAGGTCTCATTCGATGTCATGCACTTCATGTGCGATATCATTTTAGGAACACCGAGGCTGGACCGCTACATGCCATATGTGTTCCACCCCAACTTCCTCCACCTTACCAACCCCCCTGACACAACCATCGACATTCCCATCTCCCCTATCTCACCTCCCCAAGCTCCGTCACCCCGCGCCAATTCCTTCACATGGCTCGCACGAACCCTAACTCCACCTACTATTGCCTTGTCCTTGATCGCGAGCGTCCCGAGGACTTGCTCCCAACGGACAAACCCGACCAAGCTCCCCCCTCCAACCCCACCCTCACCAAAATCCGTGACACAACCATCGACATTCCCTATCTCCCCTATCTCACCTCCCCAAGCTCCGTCACCCCGCACCAATTCCTTCACATGGCTCACACGAACCCTGACTCCACCTACTATGGCCTTGTCCTTGATCGCGAGCGTCCCGAGGACTTGCTCCCAACTGACAAACCCGACCAAGCCCCCCCCCTCCAACTCCACCCTCACCTCCATCCTCAACGAGTTCAAGGACGTCTTCCTTGATTCCTTGCCTGTCGGATTACCTCCGGATCGTGGCGTATCCCACATCATCGATTTGGAACTTGGCCACTCTCCACCTTGCCGCCCTCCGTACCAACTCTCTGTTCCATAAGCCAAGGAAATGAAGAGGCAACTCCATGAACTCCTTGAGAAAGGATTCATTGAGCCAAGTTCATCCCCCTTCGGCACAAGCTGCCTTTTCGTAAAGAAAGGTTGAACATCAGAACTTCGATTGTGCACAGACTACCGCGCCTTGAACCGGATCACAGTCAAGAACAAGTACCCCCTACCTCGGATCTCCGAGCTTCTCGATCGACTCCATGGAGCCAAGTATTCAAGATCGACCTTCGCAGTGGCTTCCACCAGATCCGCATCGTGAGGAGGATACCCACAAGACCGCCTTCCGTTCCCGATTCGAGCACTACGAATTCCTCGTAATGCCCTTCGGCCTCGCAAACGCCCCCGCCACATTCCAATCTACAATGAATCACATTTTTTGCGACCTCCTCGAAGTATGTGTCGTCGTCTACCTCGATGATACCCTCGTTTATAGCCCATCCTTCGAGTCCCACCTTCAGCATCTCCACCAAGTCATCTCTATCCTCAGAGAGCAAAATTACGCCAAGCTCAGCAAATGCACCTTTGCCGCTTCAAGCGTTGAATACCTTGGCCACATCGTCTCCGTTGAACGTATCCGCATGGACCCATCGAAGGTCACCGCCCTCGTCGGGTATCCACCTCCCAATACCCTACTCCAACTCCGATCATTTCTCGGCCTTGCCAACTACTACCTCCCCTTTATCCGCAACTTCTCCGACATCTCGTACCCTCTCCATGAGCTCAACCGCAAGGACGAACCCTTCACTTGGAACGAACGCCACCAAAATACCTTCGATGCCATCAAACAACTCGTCACCACCGCCCCCGTCGTCAAGATCGCCGACCCCACTCGCCATTTCTACGTCACCACCGACGCCTCCGACTTCGCCATTGGAGCCGTCATGTCCCAACATTCCCCTCGTGATGCCACTGAAACTCCCTCCATCAAGGAATCCCCTACCCACCCCGAGGCTCCATCATGCAAATACCCCATCGCCTTCACCAGCAAGAAACTCCTTCCCACGGAAATGAATTACCCCTCCAACGAGAAGGAGCTCCTCGCCGTGATCCACGCCCTCAAAGTCTGGCGCCCGTACGTTGACGGGCAATACTTCACCGTCCGCACGGATAACACAATCATCTCTTATATCCTAACAAAGAAAGATATTACCCCGCGACAAGCTCGTTGGTTAAACTTTCTCGCCCAGTTCACCTTCACCATCTGCCATACACCCGGCAAAAGCAACCGTGTTGTTGATGCCCTCTCCCGGTGCCCCGATCACAAACCCCCTGACAAAGTTTACGCCACAATTACACATATCCAACTCCTCCCGTCTCTTCAGAATCGTTATACCCAAGGCTATCTCTCTTGCCTAAACTTCGCCACCTTCTACAACACGCTTCGTGACCTCAACCCTGTGTCATACACCCGGCAAAAGCAACCGTGTTGCTGATGCCCTCTCCCGCACCCCGATCACAAACCCCCTGACAAAGTTTACGCCACAATGACACATATCCCACATATCTAACTCCTACTGTCTCTTCACCATCATTACACCCAAGGCTATCTTTCTTGCCCAGACTTTGCCACCATACAACACGCTTTGTGACCTCAACCATGTCCCCGACTACTCCCTCCATCACAATTTCCTTTACATCGATACCAAAGGCACTCGCCGACTTTGCATCCCTGACGCACGTGGTCTCCGTACCCAGCTCTTGGCCGAACACCACGATGCCAAGATTGTCGGTAATCTTGGGTTACAGAAAACATTCGACACCATCTCCCGCTACTTTCACTGGCCTCCCCTACTCGTCGACGTCAAAGCATACATCCGCTCATGCTCCGCGTGTCAAACCGTCAACCCCTCGAACCGCGCCAAGCCCGGCAAGCTACAATCATTGTCGATCCCCACCCACCGGTGGCAGTCCATCTCCATGGACTCCGTTGGCGGTCTCCCCAAGACCGACCGCGGACATGATTGCATTTACGTCATTGTTTGTCAAACGCGCCCACTTCATCCCTGCTATTTTCACTGGCCTTCCCTGCTCGTCGATGTCCACGTGTCAAACCGTCAACCCCTCGAACCGCGCCAAGCCCAGCAAGCTACAATCATTGTCGATCCCCACCCACCGGTGGCAGTCCATCTCCATGGACTCCGTTTGCAGTCTTCCCAAGATCAACCGCGGACATGATTGCATCTATATCATTGTTTGTCGCTTGACTAAACGCGCCCACTTCATCCCTTGCACCACATCGCACAACGCTAAGGACGTCGCCATTCTCTTCTTCGATCATGTCGCTCGCCATCACGGTCTCCCTGAGAACATCATCAGCGACCGTGACCCTCGCTTCCTTTCACAATTCTGGAAACACCTTTATAAAGCCTACGGAACCACGCTCAAGTATGGCACTGCATTCCACCCATAAACCGATGGACAAACCGAGAAGATGAACGATACTCTCCAAAGAATCTTGCGGAAGTATTGTCATCCACATCAACACGACTGGGATCAGTTGCTCACCGCCGCCGAGATCGCCTACAACAACGTTGTCTGCCCTTCCACTGGCATGACTCCATTCTACCTTGACCTCGGCTATCACCCGCGCCTGCCCTCCGATTTCCTGGCCCCCTCGCAACTCAACTCCTCCACTCCCTGCCCTTCTCTCAATGAATGAGTAGCAACAATGAATTGACTCCTTAGAGAAGCAACTAAAGCCCTTGAAAGAATACAAGAACAACAAGCAAAAAGACTAACAAACACCGACGTGACTTGCAATTCAAAGTAGGGGACAAAGTCTGGCTCTCTGCCAAACGCTTTGAACCTGAACACAGCTTGTCCAAGAAACTCTCGAACAAGTGGCTCGGACCCTTCCCCGTCATTGAACAAACCTCCCCGGTCAACTACAAACTCCAACTCCCCCCTGGCATGAGTCGTGTCCACCCGGTCTTCCACGTCATACCTAAAAGAATACCATGAATCCCCACCCCAATTCGCTGACCACCCATACCCTAGACCTCCACCAATCATGTTACCCACAGGCCCTGAATTCGTCGTCGAAGCCATCATAGGACGAAGAACTACTCAGGTATCTGACCACCGTGAACCAATCACAGAATACAAAGTTAAATGGACAGGATACCCTGACGAAGAATCTACATGGGAACCTCTTGCTAACCTTAAGAATGCTATGAATCTTGTTCGCGCCTATGATCGTGCTCGCCCTATATCCTAGATACATACTATAACTCAAAACCCGAACCCTTGCATAAATCCCCCCTCGACCCCGCCCAAACCCCGCATTCCTGCTCTACACACACCCCTGTACCCAGCAAAGCCCTTGCCTCTTGAGCCCCCCCTCTCTGATCCGCTCTTGCCTCCGCCTTTCCCCGTTCTCCCATCTGTCCTCTGCCACATCCTCATCTCTCTTGTTCAAGCTCCCTATGCGGCCCCTGCGCGTTGCCGGCGATAATGGATCTAATGGCAAGCGCACGAGGACGATGGCATGCTGCAGATCAGTTCGAGGAGATAAAGCAGCTGCTGGGCCACCATGCTGTTCCCATCGGCCGCCACATTGGACTCGCAGGCTTCTGGAGCAGCAACCTCGACATTGACATCAATATCAGTCTGCGACCTGCCATCCGGATCAGACCTTAGCACCAGATCAAGACTACCGGACACGTCTGGCTACTGGGACATTCAAGCTAAAGCCCCGTTGACGACGTCCCGAGATGACTGAAGATTGTTCCCTCCTCGATACTTCTGCAACTCTTCTCAAGACCTGTTCCCAAGACTTTCGTATAACCACTACTCAGAAATTTTGCAACCATACCCTTGAAAACCCGTAGTTCATCAATAGGACCACCCTGTTCCCCGCAATTCCAAAACCCTTAGTTCATCAGTAGGATTAACCCTTTCCCCGTTGTCCCTAACCTTGAGTTTCATTAATAGGACCACCCTGTTCCCCGCAGTTCCAAAACCCTTAGCTCATCAGTAGGAGTGCCCTGTTCCCCGTTGTCCCTAAACCCTTAGTTCATCAGTAGAACTACCATGTTCCCTTAGCTCATCAATAGAACAACCCTGTTCCCAGCTCACAATTACAAGCCCTGTTCCCTAATCACACAACCAGACACCTGCATTATACCCCTCTTCCCTTGTGACTGGCTGACCAGTGATCGGCCCCGGTCCCGTCCTCCGCAGTTTTCAGCATTGTTTCATGACTTTTGGCAGCCAAGACGTTGCCTTCTAGAGGGAGGAGATAGTGTTACGGACTCAGCCGGGGCTCGATCCCTGGTCCGCGGGTTACCACCCGCCAGGCTGCTATTTTATTTTGAGTTCCTGATTTCCGGTTCTGGACTGCTGGCGCCCTCTGCAGTTGGCGCCCGTTCTCAAATTCCTCCACTGGCATTTTCGGATTTGGATACGATACTTGGCGCCATCCAGCATTCTGGCACCCAGACGCAGACCTGCGATCCTCAGTTCAGTCCTGAGGCATGCCGCGCCTCGGCCCTCCGGACTGAGCCTGAGTCCGGTACTTAAGTCCGGACTCAAGCCCCGTTGGGGCATTCAGTCTTCGGCCTCAGTGCTTGTGCTTCAGTGTGACTTGCCTCGACTTTGTGTTCGGAATCGAAGATTGCGACTTTGTGATTTTGAGACTTTGTCACTTTGTGTCTGCGTCCATCGTGTCGAGTCGAGTCCCTGTCCGAGTCGAGTGAGTGTGTGTATGTGCTCTCCCTCTCTCCCTCTCTCTCTCTCTCCCTCGACCTCTCTGCTCTGCCTCGGTCTCGTCACACTACATGCATTTGGACGCTTTCTGGACAAGGTGCATTCGAACGCATCCAACATTTCGCGGGTCCAGAAAGCGTCCAAATGCAGGATGAGTGTTTTGTAGTTGAGTGAGGCCCCTAGTTTGCTTTTCTGATTCATGTGTAAGATTGCCTGTCCTCATTTTCATTGAACACTTATCATTACAGTTGCGGTTTTGTAAGCCAACTTTTTTCCTGCAGCTATTTGGAGTTAGTGGCACTAACTTTCAATCCCCGGCCCTGAGGTAGATCGGTCGTCCGATTTGGCATCAATAGTTGCTGCTGGGATTTGAACCCAGGCGGGTGTAAATTATCTCAGCACGCGCGAATGATCATTATAAGAAAAGCACAAGATCCTCAACACTGGTGATGCTTTCCAGGAAAAGAAAAGGAAGATCCTCAGTGGCAGTGATGCTTTCCACCAGTTCCAATAGGCTTCAGTTCTTCGGCCCCTCCCAAAGAGGCCCTAAAAGAGGGCCCAAAACTCAGCCTGTGGCATACTGCCAATTTATTGCCTCCGGAAAACCAAAAAGAAAACGAGAAAAACTTTGATTCTACTGGTTACTCAGATGTGAGATACTGCTGTCTTGTCATCATGATCCGCCCTCTAAGTTGTTTCCTTAGTTTCCGAATCATCTATGCAGTCCATGCCCAAGTTTTTCTTCCCTGCATTTCCACATGTTCGGGATTGGATTTCTTTTAACACACATTTTTTGGGATCGTCACCTACTGTCTGTCACACTCACAAAGCCTCAAGTTTGGCTAAACCAGCTCCCTCTAGATGAATCTCAGCCGGCTGCTGCTAAGATTGTCACAAGTCGTCTCAACAGGTACACAGTCCGCGGTCCATCCTTAGCATGAATCTGCTCGTAAAACTGACCAGTTTCATGCTAACTGGGCAAAAACATAGCACCATTGGGGGCTGCCGTAGAGGATGCCATGCAGACAGATAACAGACAGGAAAGCCTCCGGCCATCACAAAGGTAAGTAGCTATTTTGGGGGTTGCCCAACGAAAATCACCCTGTGGCGGTACTACTCAGCCCGGCCTGTTGGGGCCTGCCCTTATTGTACCTCCCAGCGTGACCAGGCTCTCAGAGTGACCAGCCTCGCAGCCTGTCCCC